TATATATATATATATATATATATATATATATATAAATTATCCAAAACTTCCTAGAAGTCATGAATAATTGTTCCTTGTATGATGTCAGAAGCATCTTGAGCATCACTGTGATGCATTTACTAGGTATCATATTTCGGTCTATTGCTCAAAACAATTTGTTTAGGAATAGGTCCTTTAAGTGTATACAATTTCACATCTCTCACGATATTGTCTCTTAAGACATGAACTCATTCATTGAAGTTGTATCTATTGAATGTTATTGTTTCATTAAGTTATTTAAAAAAGAAATGACAATTCATGGTTATGAGAGTGGATTATATATCTACAAAATTTTAACAAAATTCATTTAGTATTTTCAATACTTAATCTTTAATAATCAATACCCTTTTAGTTTCTAAAAATATTAATTATCAAAATCTAGAATCCAAGGTGCAAAACAAATAAATGGTTAGGTATCCTTTATCCCATTTATCCAAATTTAACCCGGTAAATATCGATTATCAATTATATCTTAGCATATAATTCTTAGATTTATGGGATCACTAATAACAATTTTAATTAGACATGTTTGATCCCATCTATGTCTCAGAACTCTCTTGCTTAGGTATCCTTTATCATTAAAGATCTCCGATCAAATCATCCAATTTGAAAATTTTGTGTAATCGGGCCTATAACTTGGTTATAGAAATAGCGAAAACACCCCGGCCATCAAAAGATAACATCAAGTGGTTAGGTATCATTTATCCCACCAGTGCATACAAGAGACGTGCGAGTGTTCTTAAAAAATGATTGCACAGATTTGAGGTTTGTAAGGGGTCTTTGATGTTTTTATAATTATAGTTTAAAAAACATGTTATATCATGTTATTGCATGCATTCAATAAACCATGGTATACCTTTTAAAAATCTTATTTTTATGAAAAAATCACATTTTAACAATGTTCCTTTTATAAAACTCGGTTTTATAAAATTGACGCGATCAAATTTTAATAGCTAGTATTAAGGCGATGCTTAAGCGCAACATTTGTAAACCTTTTAATAAAAAATTCTTTTATAAAATAAGGTTTGGAGTTTGATAAGTTTATAAATCTCAATTTTAAACTTATACAATTTTAATCCCGAAATTTTACTGGTTACCAGTTTTCAACGATAAAACTTGTTTTATTGTAAAACTATTTTTTTAGCATTTTATGTTAAAAGGTAAATTTCATTAAAACCAAACTCCTTGTGATGTTTATTTATGTTCAAATATTATTTTGCATTTGAAAAACTAATTTATCAACCATAACATAATAATAATAATATAAACATAAAACAATACAAGCATGCATAACAATTATAACATATGTGCATAAACCAAGCCATTAAATAGTAATAATTTTGTGAGCCATCACAAAATTATCAAGTCCATTCCTAAAGGGATATAAGGGACATTTATCTTGTAAAGTCTTCATGTGCTCCCACTTGCTTCAACACCTTGTAGCAAGTTTATAAAAATAATTTTATGAAGTTTGAGAAACTTTAATAAAATCAACTTTATAAACTTTTGATCTTCAAAATGGTCACCATCTTCATTCTTGTTACATTTTTATAAAAATAAATTATTTCTAAAACTAATATATTACTTACAAAAGTTAACAAAAGGAAACTATCTATTTAATTATTACATACCATATGAATAAATAAATAATTACAATCATTTTCAAATAAATCAACACATGCAACAACACAAAGGTCCATGACTAGTTTATGCACATATATATATATATATATATATATATATATATATATATATATATATATATATATATATACTCAAAAATATATAAAACAACTCTTTGTTTTTCTAACACAACTTTTATAACCAAAAAGATGCATGTAAACTTTTGGTCAAAAAATAACAATTATATACATTTTAAAGTTGTCACAGAAAATATGTATGAATTTTTCTTGCAAAGAGAAAACCATCCATGTTTTCCAAAAACAAAGATTTCATCAACAAAACAAATAATCTAACTAATCTTGCAAAATGACTTTGATACCAATTGTTGGGTTTTTATTCAAAAATCTGGTTTCACAACCAGTAAAAATGATAACGGAAACTTTAAAAATGTTGAATAAAACTAAAACTATTTTACCCACCAAGGATCATTTTGCAAGAGTTGGAAAGATTAAAACAACCATAAAAGGGAAAGCATAACAACCTTTGAAGACTTTGATCCTCATGGGAGGTTGGTAGTTGATGAAGTGTGGCATGAAACTCTAAAACAAGAGTTCTCTAGAAGTATCCACCAAGCAAGAGTAGAACCATCAAAACATACTAGTATTCACTTGTAATTTGTTGTTCATAAGCCTTTGAAATATATCCCAAATATATGTTTAAAGGTGAAGCAACAAAGGGACTTTGTCTAACATCAAAATGCAAGAGAATGGAGGAGAGGAAGAGCTTATAAAGCTCGAAATTTGGCAGCCACATAGAGAGCAAAGGTGCTCTCGGTTTTAGGCTCCAAAGAAGAAGAAGAATGAGGCTTGCAAGAACTCACTTCTAACCTTCCATGTTCTCCCTTATATAAAGGCCAAAAAGCAAGAAGAGACCATAAAACAAAAATCATGAGACATACTTCTTACAAGCATGGTAGAATTGATTAAATAATTCAAAAGAAGACCATACTTGGTCTCCTCTCATTTTTCAAAAAAGGCAAGCCACAAAGAAGACAAAAGTTGTCTCATGGCTAGTTTATATATACATACATGTTATCTTTATTAAAATTCAATCATTTTTTATAGAGAATTCTCAACATATATATTTATATAACTAGTCATTTATAAATATCTTATTTTATATAAAACTACATTTTATATAAATTGTAACTAGCTTATTAAAGATATAAATATGAATATATAAATATCTTATTTTATATAAAACTACCTTCTATATAAATTGAACTAGTTTATTAAGATATAAATATAACTTATAAATAATCATACTTTATGATATATTTCATAAGTTGTTAATTCTCCAATAAATATTATTTTCACAAATAATAAATTCTCAATTAGTAAAATATTATTTCCATGAAATAATAATTTTCCAATTAAATACAAGTGTTGATATATTTATTAATAATCAAATTATACTAATAAATAATCAATTGACGGTAACTTGCTATAAGGTGTGACCCTATAGGATCATATATTATTAGCAATATCATTCTATAATGACTCTTGGGCATACTAGATCTTTCAATTTTGAGTAATCATCTAATTACAACATGTAACTAGATATTTGGAAGAATGGAATGGATAGTTTTGACTTTCTTGTCAAAACCGTAGGTTGAAAAAGCAAGACAAAGGTTGCTTGTTGGCTTTCTTTCTTTCATCTCACACTTGTCATAAAGGACCATGCTTTGACTAGTCGAAGGTATGATGCTTTAGTATATTTGTCCAAGTATATAAAGAAGTGTATGAGGCAAAAACTACCGAGTTTTTCCTTGCACTTCTCATCTCTTTTCTTTCCTATTGTAGCTGCCAAAATCCAAGAATTACATATTCTTCTTCCTCCTCTTTATATTGCAATTTGTTGCATGATTTAAGGGTTCATAAGTTGCTTCTCCTTAAAGCTTATTTGGTATAAGTCTTAAAGGCTTAATAACAACTTAATACAAGTGAAGAATAGTATGTTTTAGTGGTTGATCATTGCTTGGTGGATACATTATGGAGAGCTTCTTCTGTGAAGCTTCATGTCATCTTCATCAACTTTCAGTTTCTCATGAGAATCAAAGTCTTCAAAAGTTATAACACTTTTTCTTTTATGGTTGATCTAATTTTTCCATGATTGCAAACTGATCCTTGGTGGGTTAAAAACTTAAAATGGTTTTAAGTTTATTCTAATTATAAATCTTCCATTGCCATTTTTAGCTTTTTTGAGAAAACGATTTTGAATAAAACTCAAAACAATCTGGATTACCACATCAACATTTCATCCCATTGAAAAACCCAAAATACCACTACATAAACCCTTAAAACCAATTAATAAATAAATGAAGAAGAAAACTCAACTATAATAGACCATAAATTTTTATCGTTTTGTAGTCATCGGTTGAGTTTCAAGATTGTTCGTTGCCCTCACCCACCTAGGCAATAGCCTTAGGGCAGATGAGGGGACCCACCCAAAGTTGCATCATGATCCAAACCTTTAACAGCACCAAAATCTCCTTCCTAGGTTGATATTCGTCCATGACGTGACCATGATTTTCGGGCTTCTACATTGTCAAATCACCATTACTCAGGGGTTGATCGAGTGTGGTTAATTTGTGCAGATCAATGACAGATGAAGAAGATGGTGTGAGTGATAGACAACTTCTTAATTTTGTAAACTAAATATAGATGTTAGATGGATATATTTAAATTTGCATTTTCCCTCATATATAGCTCGTGTGAGTGATTTCTAATCATACCCGAGTTACGGTACATGGGGCTGAGACTAAAACTAGTTTGTCTTGAAACTATGGGATGTTTGGCATCAATTTTCCAAAATGTTAGACTATACCTTTAGACTAGACTAAACCACATGGGTCATTTCTATAAGTTACTCTATTTTAATTTTTTGTTTTTTGTTTAATTTATCCCTTTTTACCACCCAAGATTCTAAATATTTCAAAATTCTGTTTTTATGTTTATTTATTGCATTTTACCCCCTAAGATTTTGGATATTTAAGATTTAACTCTGATTCTTTTTCTATCAATTGTCTTTAAGTTTTATTTATCTAGTTACCCGTAAGGTTTTAGATAATTGAAGTTTTACTCATATTTTCTCCGTCAATTTCATTTATTCCATTCCAAGTTCATCACAAATTTTTGGAAGCCGCGTGCGAGGATACAACTCCTGGTTTTAAATACTTTTTTTTTTTGGAACTAACGAATATTATAAAATCACGGCCAAAAATGAAAAGGTCGGGCAAAAACAAAAAACAACTTACATAATGTCAAAAAGGGAACAAACCCAAAACTCTCATTTACAATTATCAAAATTACACCTATGTTTCAACCATATAAAAAAAAAGAAATAATATTGTCCGCCAACTTTGAAGAAGTTGTATGAATCTTGTTCTACCATAGATTGTTTCTCGCTTTCCACCCGCACTACAAGAAATCGTAACAAATAGCAAGAAAGGCTTTTTTAATTTAGAAATTTATCAAAACTAGATGTTTTTGGAAGAAAAAAACAAAAAAAAATCCGGATAAACATCCGAACCAATTGAGATTTGAATTATTTGGTTTTAGGGTAATTCGGTTCGGCTAACCGAATACAAATGAATTTGTTTGATTCGGTTTTGGTTGATTATTCACTAATTCGGGTAAATCGAATAACTCCAATAAGTCATTAGATTAATAGTTTTATATTATGTGTCAACTTTTATGTTGTGTATTTTTCACTATTTCAATATATTTAAAGTTATGAAGTCTAGACAACCACCTATTACATACAATCACCGAAGGGTTTCTAGCCCAACAGTATCTGGTGTTGTCCTCCCTCCTTGAGGTTGAGGGTTCAAGTCTTGTGGTGGACATAGGTGAATTTAATGTGTAATTTAGGAGTAGGTTAGATTTGTCGTTTCAAAAAAAAACCTATTACATACAATGTACTCCCTTGTAATAACTTTTGTGAGTTTTTTTATGAACGAAACCTGTTAAGTTTTGATGGTGTTTAAGAATCAATATTATAAAAATGTGTGTAAAATATTATTCAAATTAACATGCAAGATGAACCGAATAACCTAAACCAAATATTTTATATAATTAAAGTTGGGACTTGTTTGACACGGAGTGTTTAGGAGTATCTAGCTTCTAACGTTTGACAAAACGCTCCGTTTTAAATAAAATGTCTTGTTTGGCACTATAAACTTTTAGCGTTTAGTTTAAACAAAATCATATAAATCTAAAAGTTATCTCATGTAGCGTTTAACAAAACGCTACCAGCTACCCGTTAGCAGTTAGTTTTACCGAAAACGTCCTTAATCTTATTTGATTTAGTTGCAATTAAATAATTAATTTAGAGATTTTGTAAACCGATTAAATCGACGACTCAATAAATCAAAATCTGATTAAACCAGCGAAATAATATTTGTAATCAAAATAGTGGTGTTTTCAATAATAAAGTATAAAAAACGATAAAAAAGATTGCATCATCAATGGGAAAAAGCACCCAAATAGAAGGCCAAAAGGAAGTGATTTGAGAAAAAGGGGGCCCATTTATTTAGGTATTTTTAGTGCGACCACAATTGAAAACAACATTAACAAATTGATATAAATAAAATATCGTTTTTTGAATAGAATAGTTAAAAATATCATTAAGCTTTATGTTTTGAAAACTTATATGAAGAGAAAATGTTATGCATCACATTGTTATCCTATCATAATTCCACAAAATGTATTACTTGTTGTTTAATCAAATAAAAATTAAATCATAGTCTACAACTACAAGGGTTGACATGATGAACATGTTATTTTCATATTAACCATCAAACTGGTATTTAGGTCTTCATCTAACTACCATATAAACCTAATATAATTTTTTTTTCTACAAATCTAAAAAATTTCATGACTATAAAGTTGCATTTCTTACAAGGTATGATACCAAATGGAGACTTATAGAAAAAAAAAAATCAAGATTGAGTTCTTCTCCCATTTTTTAAAAATAATTCGAATTTCCTCATATTCTTTGAGGATGAAAATAAAGCACAAAGATGTTAAGTCGCTTTTAACATTGTCTAGACCATCGATAAGTCTAAAAAATATTTTTAATAATAATAATTAATAAATGCTAAAAATAGAAATTGTTACAACACTATAAAAAAAATATACGGAAAAACCATGTGGTTGATAGAGTTTGAAAAAGTTTTAATCGCATTGATCTGGACCGTTGAATGTAGTAAGACAAGGCCTATAAGACCACCTCCTTATTCTACTCTTGTTTTGTCCATCTTCCTCAGAGCCTCTTCAACAATTTGTCACTTACAATCTTCAAGCCTTTCTCTCTCTATCAAACACACACTTTCTCTCTCTAGCTTCAACAGAAATGGAGTCCATCAACATATCTAAGAAGGTGCTTGCTTCATCTCTCTCTCTCTCTCTCTCTTTCTACCCTTCTATATAGCAAAAACTGTAATTATTTTTAATTCTATATCGTTCAAGAAATGGAACATTCTTGTATTTTCTGATTTCATCAAGGGTAGTTTAGGTACTCTGTTCACTATAAAACATTTTTTCCTTAAACTATCTCTGTCAAACATTTATTTCCTAAGCAGTAAGCATACATTGCATCTCCTACCCGCAAGAAACTTTTTGACAATGGTGTAATTATAATTTTGCATTTCTTATCTCATGACTTGAATCGAGTCTTTCATTTAATAAGATCGATTAATTTGATTTTCCAGAAACTTTTTTGATTTGATAACTGAAGAGCCATGCATCAAGTGTCAAATGATTATGACACGTGCATTCACTTCGCGAAACTCAAATAGATCGGATTTTCAAAAACACACGTCACATGCACACAGATTGCTGTAGGACATATTTTACTGAATGGATAGTTCTCGAACACTCGTAAAATTAGTTGAAATCTCACTATAAACTTTTACCTTGGGATCTTCCACTGATCATTAGTATGACAGCCTTCAAGTTTTTTAACCCGAAGATAATTATTTTTTAGATTAAAAACAATTAAATATTTTTTAGAACTAATTAAGTTAGCTAAACAAATGGCAGGTGAAGTGTATTAATGATGATGAAGAAGGGACAAGCACCCTGGATGGAACTGTAGATTTCCATGGCCGACCAGCTATCAAAGGAAAAACTGGACGTTGGACAGCTGGAACTATCATCCTCGGTAACCCACCTTTTATTTTTTCAACTATATCTTTGATATGATATAAAATAATAATAATAAAAAAAATGATTTGCTAAAAATAAACAATAAAGATAAGAACTTGATATCATACTTCGCTTATCTATATAGGTATAATATTTATTCAACTGTACATTGGATAAGTCAAGCTATCTATCCATGTGATGAATATATATACATCGATAAATTAATCTGTATGCATGTATGGGCGTAATTTTTAAGAATGTCTGCTAAATATACCAAAGAGAAGAAAACTTTATTGTATTAATCTCAACTTGTTGGATAACATATTAGTGTAAAATTTAAACTCGAGCTCCTACATTATTTTGAATAGGAAATTAATTATGATAGGATATATTCACTATGGTTGATACAAACATACTTTTGTTAAAACTATTAGTTATTGATCATTACATAAAATTAAATCAACAGTCATATAAGTTCCTTATATATATATATATATAAATTAAATTTAATATGAAAGGTGTTGAAAACAAATTTACGAAGTTTGGAATGGTGGAGGTCTACTCTATCCTAAAAATTTTGATAGCTCTATGTGTGGATGTATTTTGATTTAATTATATTTATTGAGGAAATTTACATTTAATTCAATAACTAATGACATAAATATATTAGAAAATTGCGTGTAGAGAATCTTGAAAATGACAAAAAAAAAAAAAAAAAAAGTGTACTTTTTGTTTAAAAATATGCAATATTGTTGTATTAAAAGATAACGTTTTTATGCAAACTTCTTAGATTCGAAAAGTTATATATAGTATTTCGTCTAGAAAATACAATTTTTTATAATTTTTTTTATCAAATGTTTAATTATATTAGTTCTAAATGAAACTGAAACTGTAAGAATTATTCTTTATATCCTTTTTCATGTAAAATAATTATTGTTTCATATCGATTTTGTTTTTACTAAAAATATTTCGACTGTTTGAGTGGTCATATATTAAATTAAATCAACATCAAATCCAATGAGGTATGTCATGAAAGAGAGTCGACTGATGGTGAAAAAGTATTTACAACTGGCACTATGTTGATGTGGGGTTTGTAGACAAAAAAACTTTTGGTTTTGGGAATAGTTCCTTCCACACGACATTCTACAAAAATATACCCATACAAAATACACGCATATATATATATATATATATATATATATATATATATATATATATATATATATATATATATATATATATATATATATAAAACAAATTTAAAGACACTAATCATAACATTTCAATAACATGCAAGACATAATTATATAGTTATTATAAAACATATATGATTGAAAAACATGTTAAAACATTTTTTATACTTTTTTTTGTGTGTGAATTTATATGGTCTGTCTTAGTTTTGGTTATTTTAGAAAGTTTTTGTAAGGGTAAAAATAATAAATATGGAGAAAGATATAGTATGAGACGTGGGGGACACGCGATGGGTAAATCCTTACATGACGCAAGCTGATTAGGCAACGTGGCATGGTTACCAACGTTTCGTGTGGTCATCATTCCAACTCCAACTCACGAGATGTATTTTTAGCAACTCCCGAGGCCCAACCTAAAACAAGGAGTGAAACATGGCCCATTTTTTTTTAACTCAACTCACTCTCCTACAGTTATTTTTGGAATATTCTTATTCAAATATTTTTAAGAAAAAAAATCATAATTATAGTATTATAAGTTTATTATTAAATAAAAACTTAAGTTATCGAAAATCAAATTATTTAGGACGAAAATATTTTAATTAATTTATATGACTATCAAACAAACGAACCACTTCCATACTTATCTTTTTTTTGGAAATTGCAAAATGATCATGTTTGTATCTCTTTTTATTTTTATTATGTTTTCTTTTTCTTTATAATAAAGTAATAAACAGTAAAGGGACTAAAATCAAGAACACATGATGACAAATTTTATGTTGACAAATTTTGTCACTTGTTTGTCGTGTGCTACGTGTAAGCTTTTAGATCAAGTACATGTATCTTCTGTGGACTAGGAATGAACATCTTTTGGATCTGCTCAGGTTTGGTTTTCGGATAATTTATGTTTAGTAACTAAAATTAAAAAATTAAAAAATTAAAAGAATAATTTGAATCAATTAATATTTCTTATAATTTAATAAAAAATATTTTTATACTGATTTTTTTTTTTTTTTTTTACTTTTTTGCTTATAAACGTGACAAACGAGAGTTTTCTACTTTTATAAAATATAAAAATCTAATGTCCAGTTTGTCAAAATGGTTCCGTTTTTTCAGTAATTTTTTATTTTAGGTTGATATTGCGGTTTTGCTCACTTATAAAATGATACCATAGACAAAGTCGCTTAAAATATTCAACCCAATGTTTGCTAAACATGACTATCTATTAACAACCTACTGTAATTGGAATTAAATATTCATACCTTCTAGTCATATCAACTACATCTTAATCATCTATAGGGTCCCAATTCATTAATTGTGATCATTATTAGTATATTACAAATCACTCGGTTGCTTAGCCAAAAGAAATTATTGCACATTAAGTAGAAAACGATGCCTAATTGTCATCGTGTAAAGGGATTGATGTTGCTTTGCCCAAATAATTACATGATATGATACTACATAACACACCACTTAAAATCAATTACCTACGTACACCACACACTTCTCAATACAAATACATCATAATATATAAGACACTCTTATTGAATCCGACACGTGAAAGCTTGCTTGTACAAATACACCAACAATACATGTGTATTTTTAAACACTTGCACAATTCCACGTATATAACTAACCTAATAAGTTGAATACATTGAATACCAAAGATGATCACGTCTTTTGTTATTTCATTTTCAAGATTTATTGGTTTGTCCTTTTGGGTCATTTTAAAAGCAAAATTTGTCTTTTTTTGTGACCTAACTTTATACATGGTGTATTTTTTTATTTTTATTTTTTTACAGTGAATCAAGGGCTCGTGACTTTAGCCTTTTTTGGAGTTGGGGTGAACTTGGTGTTGTATCTAACCAGGGTCCTACAACAGGGCAATGCTGAGGCTGCAAACAATGTTAGCAAATGGACCGGAACTGTTTATATTTTCTCACTTGTTGGTGCCTTTCTCAGTGACTCTTACTGGGGTAGATACAAAACTTGTGCCATTTTTCAAGCCATCTTTGTCTTAGTAAGTTCATTTACATTACCCTAATTTTGTACACCTGTGCCTATACCTATACATGTACTTCTCCCATGTACAACTGCAACTGTAACTGTAACTGTGATTGTGATTGTAGGGATTAGGAGGGCTATCGGTGGCATCAAGCATGTTCTTAATAACCCCAAAAGGATGTGGAGATCGGACAACTTTATGCATTAAGCACTCGAATTGGGAGATAGGGTTGTTTTATATCTCAATTTACATGGTTGCCTTGGGTTATGGAGGGTACCAACCAAATATCGCGACATTTGGAGCCGATCAGTTTGATGAAGAGGATATGAAAGAGGGACACTCAAAAGTAGCTTTTTTCAGCTACTTTTATCTTGCACTTAACCTTGGTTCCCTTTTTTCGAATACAATTTTGAGCTATTTTGAGGATGAAGGTATGTGGACCTTAGGGTTTTGGCTATCGACTGGGTCAGCATTTATGGGACTTGTCCTGTTTCTTGGGGGTACCATAAGGTACAGACACTTCAAGCCAAGTGGAAACCCTTTAAACAGATTTTGTCAAGTGTTTGTTGCTGCATCAAAGAAGTGGAAGGTTAAATTGCCACAAGGTGAAGAGGCTTTGTTTGAAGATGAAAGGGAAAGTTCTCCAAGTACTGGGAGGAAGATACTTCATACCCATGAATTCAAGTAAGCGTTGGTTATATCATTATTATTATCATATTTCTAAATGTAAATGAATTCAAGATGTTGATATTGGTATATTTGTTTGTTTAGGTTTTTGGATAAAGCGGCATTCATTACCTCGAAGGATTTCAATGACCCGAAACAAGGAACCTACAATGCATGGACTTTATGCCCGATTTCACAGGTGGAAGAGGTGAAATGCATACTAAGATTACTTCCCATTTGGTTATGCACGATAATCTACTCGGTTGTTTTCACACAAATGGCGTCTCTATTTGTTGAGCAAGGTGCAGCCATGAGAAGTACAATCTCAGGCTTCCAAATTCCTGCATCCAGTATGTCTAGTTTTGACATTCTTAGTGTTGCACTTTTCATTTTCCTTTACCGAAGAGTTCTTGGACCTCTGGTGCTTATGTTCAAGAAGAAAGACTCTAAAGGGTTGACTGAGCTTCAAAGAATGGGAATCGGACTTATCATTGCAATTCTATCAATGGTTTCAGCTGGAATAGTGGAGTGTTACAGACTAAAGTATGCAAATCAAGATTGCACTCATTGTGATGCGTCTAGCTCCTTGAGTATATTTTGGCAGGTACCTCAATACGCGTTTGTTGGAGCTTCTGAGGTTTTTATGTATGTAGGTCAACTGGAGTTTTTCAATGCACAAGCACCTGATGCTTTGAAGAGCTTTGGAAGTGCTCTATGTATGACATCGATTTCACTTGGGAATTATGTTAGTAGCTTCATTGTGACTATAGTGATGAAGATATCAACAGAAGATGATATGCCAGGGTGGATCCCAGGGAATCTGAATCGGGGTCATTTGGATAGGTTTTTCTTCCTACTAGCATGCTTAACAGCTGTAGATCTAGCAGTCTACATTGTGTTTGCTAAATGGTACAAGAGTATTAAGCTTGAAGGGAAGAATGTGGAAGGGAATGACACTGATGACTCTGAAGTTTGAAATGTAAATGACTAATGAAGATGGCCAAGTTCAACAGTGTGTGATGATATGATCCCAAATATATATATAAATAAAACATGGGATGGGGTTGTTGAAGGTGAAATCACTCTGTAAACACTTTTATTCTGGAAAAATTAAGTTTGCAGTTGGCTTAAGGCAGAAATGACACCCTTGTTCCCATATTCACGTACATCTAATCTGCTTTAGCAATTCAGGTTTAGGAGCTAAGGGAAGTTGATTTGTTAAGGTGTGAGTATATTTACTTTCGGGTTCATGAGCTCATGATCTTGCCTTCAGTGGTTCATTCTGTTGTACAACAAGACACTGATTTAACATGTCTTTTTTGTCATTTGAGTTGTTTTCTGTATTATGTAACAAAAATTTATGTCTATGTGAGCTCTGTTTAATCAAGTTTCATTGTGTTCTTACTGAATTATGATGAAACCATAAAAAAAATCTATTTAAACAAGGTAAATGAGTAAATCCATAAACAACATGTAAATTAAGAATTTAAGATCCTTCTCATAGAACAAAAACATGATTTCTAGGTTTTCATTCATAATTAGTAGAATCGACATGCCAAGTCAATAAAAGATATGAACTTTAAGATCTGAGGCTTACATTTGTCTGTGTGACTGTGGCATGTGCTCACAGAGTGTTTAAATCTTTAAATTCTGCATTTCAAAACTTTTCTTCCTACAATCAACAAGACAAAACATCATCAGTGATGGTTAATACTCGATCTTCAGGGATGAACATGTTGACATTACAGATATAACTTAATCTAGGGCAGATGCAGTACACTTAGGAAAAGTAAAATTTGAAACCAAAGCGCATAAAACAAATTGATATCGTAAATGTGATAATCGGACTCACTCATTTGTGAAGGCAGAGATTGTTGAGGAAGGCCGATAATGGCTGAAAAGAACATTAATGGAACCATTTTGGAGATATCGATTCACCTTTGATGATAGATACAATCGGATCTCATGAGGCGCCGAGTGCCGAGAACAAATGGCAGTTTCAAGCCTGTTGAACAGGAATTGATAAATGGGATATCCTGAAGAAACCCACTTTGCAACCTTTTTAAAGTTTTATCTTTTTTTTTTTTAACTACTAATTTATTTCAACTTTATACCTTTATCAATTTTATTTTTATCATTAATTTTCAAGCTTTTCATAAAATAAAACTTGCCAAAAAAAACTTCAAAGTAATTTCTTATGGTTTTGTCTTAAATATTTTTATTTCTACTGTTTACATCATAATATTTGTGCAACTTCTTAATTTGTTCGTTGTATCTTTTTTCATGGTTTATATTGGTTGGCTAATTTTAACATGACACATAGGGTCAATCTCTTATAAAAATATAGAAAAAATGATGAAAATGATGTAATGAAACAATAATATTTTTTAAAATTAAAGTTATTTTAATTATATTTTTGTAGTTAATATACGTAATTAACCTAACATATACATTTCAATCTAAAATTATCTCAATGTATACATGTTGGTATATATATATATATATATATATATATATATATATATATATATATATATATATATATATATATATATATATATTACGTTAATTACAAAAATTTAATAAACATATCGTTAGTTACATACATTTTTATAATTAAAGTAGCATCAATTACAAAAATATTGTTGATTCACAAATAAAGCATATGAATACCTTATATAGATCTTGAGTTCAAGCCTCATTCGCATTATTATTTCTATTTGTTTTTAGACAAAATTGCAAAAATGGTCCCTGTGGTATGCAAATTTTTGGAGTTTTAGTACAAACCCGAAGTTTTTTGGATTCATGGTCCTTTTGGAGTGGTTTGTATGTGGAATTGGTCTCTGGACTTAACTCCCGTTAAAAAGGATCTGTTAACCGCCTCATGTGCCTCACACATGAGGGTAAATCCGTCATTTCATATGTAAGGGACCATTTTTGCATAACTGTTTTTTGGCTTAATTCCTTTTAAATATTCCCACTGCCTGTTATCTTCTTCCCCAACGTTCCCTAACGTTCCAGTAACTGATTCGGGTAGACAAGCTGCATTCGGGTTTAATTTTAGCTCATGATTATAAGCTTTGGGACTCTCCAGTGATGGATTATGTGGCAGAGATGATGCCCGGAATAAGAATCTCCTTTTCTTGATTGGAATGTGTTCTGCCTTCTCACTGAAGTGACACCCAAGAACAGAGACTCCCAACTGCAATTTTAGTAAAAGAGTGTTTAGGTTACAACCTACAACTAATGAGTTTCTGCTAAAATAGTATGATTATAGTGAACATTGAAACATCACCTTTTCTGATTCAGAAACATGCATTTCTAGAACTTTTGAATCCTTAGTTAAGTTAATTGTGTTTGAACTTCGAGGTCTCCTTGATGAACTCCTACAACCCTTTGAAACTTTTGTCCAAGTAAAGTCTTAATTGATTAAGCTAGTAAGTTCCAAAACTATGCTAAGAAAACAACTTGAAGAGCTTTTTCCATTAATTGATGATCTTCCACCACAGTTTTTGCAGGATAGTGTTCCATTACGCCTTTTGCTTGATGTGTTAGTAGAGGTTGAACCCTGCAAGTCCATAAACAATTACCTCCATCAAAATGTTGTAACATCAAAAGTGTTGTAATGGAATGTTTTGAGTGATTGCAACTCCCACCATTAGATGTGGCCCCTCATTGTTTGCCTTTGAAGATAGCGATGTCTGTAAAGCTTTGAAAACCCAAGGTACTCGATCCACGGCCTGTAAAGCATCATAGAAATACATGATTAGATGAGCCAACAAAGAAATTAATGCAAAATGGATTATATGTTCAATATTTTGGGCCAAGAAATGCAAAAGCTGACAAGACTCCTGAACTCTTATGGATACATCCACATTAAAAGAAATGGCATTGTAAATCAAAGATGAAGCGTTCTCCATTCAAATCAAGGAGATTTACAGAGCTCTAAGGAAACAAATAGGGTATGTGTGGTCAAGACACTGCACGCCCTTGTTAACCTGTAAATGTTGTGAATCGGAGCATAACGTCTCAAATGATGAACATTTAAGGAGATTAGATCCCTCAATGTGCTAAAACTAGGTAGAAGAAAAACGAGATCAGCTTACGTGAATATCAAGCTCATAGCAATAAACCACAGATCCACCATATCGACCTAAAAATGGCATAGTAGATTGATGCTTATACCGCATATGAACAAGCACATCAGATTTCAAAAAATGAGTTCGCTGAGGATGTGATTCCACAAAAACATAGAACCATTGTTGTAACAGAGCTCAAGAAGAAGAAGGGTAGAAAAAAGAGACGTTGGGGACGTTGGGGAAGAAGATAGCAGGCAGTGGGGATATTTAAAAGGAATTAAGCCAAAAAACGGTTATGCAAAAATAGTCCCTTACATATGAAATGACGGATTTACCCTCACGTGTGAGGCACATGAGGGGGTTAACAGATCCTTTTAACGGGAGTTAAGTCCAGGGACCAATTCCACATACAAACCACTCCAAAAGGACCATGAATCCAAAAAACTCGGGGTTTGGACTAAAACCTCAAAATTTTGTATACCACAGGGACCATTTTTGCAATTTTGTCTTGTTTTTATAAGACCGTCATATGAGATGTCGTTTCAACAAAAAATATTCAACCAGTATAATCGGAAAAGATATAAAATGAGTGGAATTAACAAATTGCAGAAAAATTATGAGGTAAAATTGATATATACATATATATATATATATATATATATATATATATATATATATATATATATATATATCTATATATACTTAGGGTTTTAATAAGTGCTTCGCTTTATAAAAGGTAAAAACGGTAAAAGTAGAAAGTTGAAGTAAAATTATAACAAATTATTGAAAGTATCACTGTGGTTTGGGTAAAATTACGTGTTTGGTCCCTAACTTTTCCATTTATTTTTCCATTTATTTATTTTATTAGAATTATTTATATTATTAATTACTTAAACGGATCCCACCAAATCATCTTCTTACACTTAACATCCCGTCACCAACAATTCTAATCCCAACCTATAAATCAATTGCAAGCTCTCATTCCTACCTATTAATAGCTTCGATGAACAACCACACACCACCACTAACTCTGCCAGAAAACCTCCTCCCTTCAGCGAGACCAAAACTCCGATGAGATTAGAACACCATCGAACACCTGATCTCACCCCGGCTTTTTCTTCCTGCCCATTATTAACTCCAATGTGACTAAAACACCGACGAACACCACCACCACTACCACCATCTCCGGTGAGACAAAAACCCTGAAGCCAACACCTCCAGATTCAGATTTGCTGCCACTGTCTCCCCTGATGGAAGTCACCACTATTGCCATCGACCATCGCCAAACAGATCTCGTTCAGGAAGATAAAACAACCTATATGGCAAAGAGAGGAGGAAGACCGAATAGATGGTGATGGAAACAGTTTCCACCAAGAGAGCGGGGCGGAGAGAAGCGACAATGCAATTTTCCTCAGCGATCCATGCGGTTTAGATACTTTTACAGGTGATCTGGTGGTTCGGGTATTGAGGGGTTGAGTTCCAAAGGTTCGGGGGTGAAGAGGGAGGAGGATCTTGGTGACAGAGGAGGAAAATCTGGATCTACCGGTAGTGGTTTGTAACGACCCAATTTTCAAAAGAAAATTTTCATTTTTAATTAGCCAAAACACTTTCCATAAACCATAAAATCTCAATACATTTGTTTTCAAATTCTTAACAATAACAATATTATTTCAAATCATCAGAGTGTCCCATAAAAAGGTCTGTGAGATAGTGCATGTCGCGCCATCAAGCCTTGCCCTTGCCCTTGGGCTTAGATGTACCTGAAACAAATCCACAAACTGTAAGCTAATGCTTAGTGAGTTCCCCAGAGCATACCCCACACACAATCCACATAACACATATCATATTAGCTATAAAGTTACATATATCACATAAGTCATGCATACAAACATATAAGGATGTCGTGGGCTCATCCCAAGGTCTTACTCCAGGATGTCATGGGGCTCCCCCACATGGTCTTACACCTAAGTGCCATGGGCTCCCCCCATGGTCTTTAGCTGGAAAGCCATGGGCTCCCCCGCATGGTCTTACATCCAAGTGTCATGGGCTCCTCCCATGGTCTTTACTTGAAAAGTGATGGGCTCCCCCACATGGTCTTACATCCAAGTGTCATGGACTCCCCCATGGTCTTCCCAGCAAGTATCACATATATAGCTAGCATAACTAACTATCATACCACATATCTCTACAACAACAAGTATACCACATGTCACAAAATGGGCCGGCCTTGGTGCCTTAGACCCATTGGTATGGTGAGGAGACTCACCTCCCGAACGCTGAACTGACAAGCTAAGATCAGGTAAATCTCACGCACTGCTCTAACTCAACTGCCTATAATCATCATGTGATTAACTTGTCACAATCCCGAAATACCATAATTATCCTCAAAGTCAACCCTGGTCAAAGTCAAGGTCATGTTGACCTCAACTCGTCGAGTGCATCCAGCAAATTGTCGAGTTCCTCCCGAGTCCATTCCACTGAATCCCGAGTCAACTCACTGAGTCACCTAAGTGACTCGTCGAGTTCATCAAATGTCCAGAAGACCAAAAGTTCATGCATACCAAATCTCTAATCCTTCACTACACTCATTCAGAATCTCAAAAACGGGTAAACCCTACTCGGCTCGTCGAGTCGACTAAGGGACTCGAAGAGTTCCTTCAGTCCTTTCCAGTGAGATCCAAGGTCCCAAACTTCAGATCCAACTTCTCCTAGTGTAGTTACCACGTAAAGTTGCAAACTTTACATGCATGCAAGGTCTCACAAGGCTAAAACACCAAAACTAAGGTTCCTACAAGGTCTTAATGCATGGAAAGGGCCTAAGTTGGATAAAGTGAGCAACTTTATGCCATTGAAGACCTAGAGATGTCCAGATCTGGAACCATATCCTTGTGACAAGTCCAAATCCGAGTGTAACACCCTTTTTGGCACCAAAAGTGACCATTTATTTCCAAGAAGGAGATCTACGCAGCTAAAGGTCAAGATAGTGACTTTATACCTCAATATGGTCGCCAATACAGGGTAGATGTCGGATCTACTGCTTCCCTCTTTGTTCCTTCTTCTTCAAGCTCCAAAATCTTCACAATCACACCAAAAATACTCTCAAAAGCTCTCTCTCTCTCTCTATCTCTCTCTCTCTCTCTCTCTCTCTCTCTCTCTCTCCTCTTTCTATCAAGAAGGTGCAAGGCTCAAACTAGGGTTTCTCTGGTTGTAGGAACGATGGAAGAGGCTGCAAATGAGCCATAATTTTTTTAAATAGGGTACAAACCCCTAAAAATTAGGGTTTCTCTTTACAGTGCCTACTCGCCGAGTCGGGCCTTCCGACTCGTCGAGTAGATCTGAAGTCTCGTGTCCTCATAATAACCTCTACTCGACGAGTTGGAGCTCCCCAACTCGCCGAGTCCAAACACAAAACCCTAACACTTAGATAATTTAAATGATACCTGGAACAGGTGTTACATGGTTACCGGTGGTTCTGGTGATTTCGGAGCCGAAGATGTTGCCGGAGGTACTGTCGAAGTTGAGAGATGGAAAGGAAGAGAATGTCTTAAAAAATGGGTTAGGGTATGAGGATGGATAGGTGGGTTGGCAGTGGGACCATATATTTATCTTTTTTTTAAGTTATTTTTTAAAATTAATAGATAAAAATAAAAATAAAATACAAAGGGCAATATAGTATTTTAAGTTCTACAAGGGACGAAAAACGCAATAAAATCGTAACTTAGGAACGGTCCGAGTGCAAAACAGTACCAAACTAGTAGTTTTTTCCAAACCACAGGAACGATTTTAGTAATTTGTAGTGACAAAAGAACATGGTTTGGCATGCGGAATTAAAGTTTGCACAATGATCATGGTGATTTGGGTGTTCAAGAGATGTATTGATTGTATATGGTGTTACACAAAAAGGATCTAGATCTACACTACATAAATAACACACACTTACACACTCAACTTTTATGCCTCTCAAGCACACCTCTACAAGTGGACTAAACCCACCTTATATAGAGGTGTTTACATGTCTCTCTCTCACTCTCTATCTCTCATGTGTCACAAGGCTAATACTCCACATGCAAGTGGGTTTTATAAAAGTCAAACATTACAAAGTCATTCAAGGAAAACTTTGTACCCCAACATTCTCCCCCTCAAAGTTAGGAATGAATGACCCACTTCAATTTTTCCAAAATCGAGCAACTACGCGATCTGAGCCTCAAAGGTGACACATGTCGAAACGAACTTCAATCTTCAATTCTTCCATGATTCTTCAATTTGGGCTCTAGGATGTGAGACCATACAAACCGAGCATCAACGAATGATCACGAGCTTCTCAAACTCCAAATTGATCACCAAAAGTTGAGCATAAAGCACACCCCAAAAATCTTCAATAAAACCAAACTCATTTCGAATACATCACTTCCAAACTTCCAATTTCATCATTTCGTAAGCTTCAAAAATTAAGGTCACTTCGGTCTTCAAATCCGCGTAATATGAAAAATTCAAGTTCGAATTTCCATATAAATTTCTCCCCCTTTTTATAATCGAAATTTGATTATAAAACCTTCAAGGAAAAGAGAACGTGCTCTATTCGGAATTTTTTCGTGTCAAAACTCCCCCTTAACATGTGGCATAAACTTTGTGCTTCAATCTGGAAAATCCAAAAAAATATTGAATTTTTAGCTTCGTTCACGGATCGCCTTTGACAAAATTTCTCAAAAATGGGTAGAAATTGTCAATTTCAAAATTTTGCAGTGACCCGTTGCGCCTAAAACAGCAAAATATGCAAAACTCTCCCCCTTTTCCAAAGCTGGGTAGAAAGCGTCAATTGCACAAACTGTAGGGGCTTGAAATGCATTTTTCTTCAATTTTCAGCAAAAACAGTCCTTTTTCGAATTTGGGTATGAACCGCCAAACATTCGAAGTCTCAGGGACTATTTTCGAAAACTCTGTCTTTGTGCACCAAACATACGAAGAGTTGTCCCAAACATTCGAAGCTTCAGAAAATTTTCGAATTTGGGTGAAAAGTGTCAAACATTCGAAACTTCAATTAATTCTCTAAGTGCCAAATTTTCGAAGGTTCAGGGGCTGTTTTCGAAAATTCTGCTTTTTGATCAAAACATACGAAATGTTGATCATTCATACGAAGCCTTTTTCCATTTGTCAACCATTCGAAACTTGAGGGACTACATTCGAAAATTTTGCTTTTCCATTCCAAACATACGAAATTTTCAACGCTTCGTACGAAAGCATCTCCTCTTCATATGAAAATTTGGAAAGGTGTTAAACTAACGAAATTTCAGGGGCCATTTAGGTAACATTGCTTTATTTTTCCTCAATTCACACGAAATCAGGCAACCCAAACACACGAAACTTTTTCCTTCTCTCTCCCCTTCGTACGAAAATCATCTTCACCCAAAATTTTCTCTCTCCTCTTCGTATGAAACTTCATCTTCCCCAATCAAACAAAAAATCTCAACATACAAAGCATACGAAATTTTTCATACGAAATCGAAGCATAACGAAGCCTCTTAATGAACAATAACCTCTAAATCATCCAACCTCTGAATCGAATTAACTCACTGCTTGTTTTATCCCTTCGTTCCTTACAGTTCTTCTCCAATTCATCGATCAAATAACCAAGGCTTCGTTCGTTAAAGTATCAACCCAAATCATCAACATCAAACAACATTAGCCAACATCGATTTCCAAATCTTCGAAGAAATCGACCCATCTAGTCTTCAAAAGCCAAACCCAGGGACCCTTCGATTCCAAATCAACAATTTGACCACAAACAATGTTCGTTCCAAACCAAATCTGGTCGGCATCAATCATCGACCTAAACCATTCGAACCATAGACCCATCTATCGACTCCAAACATTCGATCATACGCCCCAATTCCAAAATCGTTGCCATCAACAACAGAGTCCAACCCTTTGAATCTTTGGTTCAAGAACTCAGCAACAATTCTCAAAATCAACAATTCTTGTCTTAAACCCAACCAATAAAATCTTCGATTCCAAATACATCGTCAACCCAAGCCATCGATTCCAAACGATTACAAATGAAATCAATAGACTCGACTCATTGAAATCAAATCAACCTTTCCAGTCCGTTCCTTCTTTCAAATACTGTTCGTCATCAAGACCATAAATCCAATAATTTTCGAAATGGATCCTCCAATCAATCATGATTTCGACATCTATACCTTGTTCTCAATTCAAAACCAACGATTTCAGCCTCCAATTTAATGAATCGTCATCTAAAAATCGAGTTTGACTTTT